GGCAGTTTCTGTATTAGTGGACTCAGATAACCCAGTTCAAAGTTATTGTAGGATTTTCTGCCTTGATATTCTGGGTTATATGGCTGTGTGGAGAAGCCTCTGGACTATTGATAAAGCTCAGAATTCCTAGGACACATCTTGCAAATCATTTCTTGATCATAATCTTTGGGTTCAACACAGGCAAGCAATCTAAAGAGTTCTTATCAAAGCAAATATTACATTCATAACAAGAGATCTATAAATCTTTTGCATAGGGCATTGAATCTGATTTTTTTTGTCATATCAGGATTGACTTGAGAAACTGCAAGTCGCTTCTGGTGTGAAAGAATTGGCCATCTGCAAGGACGTTGCCCAGGGGACGCCCAGATGTTTGGATGTTTTACCACCCTTGTGGGAAACTTCTCTCATGTCCCCACATTGAATCTGAATAAGATCTATGGAAACCATCACTGAAGAGAGATGGATTATATACAGAATACTGGTTCTGAAGAAGCATGAAACCTGGCAGTGTTCAGCAATGGAACTTTATTCTGCTGCTCTGAAAATTCCCTCTCTAAATAACATGACAAGGTGAATCATTAACTCTGGGTTAAAACAAACATTTTTCAGGCTCACTGCTTGGCTTGTATAGTTATGACTGGGAAAGATGCCTTTCTGAAACCCTGCTGAGTTGCAGACACCAATAGTTTGAACAACATTGAATTGGATCTAGAGGGATTGGAGACCCTAATTTGTGCATAGCACTTGTCTATGTAGGATCCACACTTTATTATTATTATTATTATTATTATTATTATTATTATTGTGTTGTTGAAGGCTTTCATGGCTAGAATCACCGGGTTGCTGTGAGTTTTCTGGGCTGTATGGCCATGTTCCAGAAGCATTCTCTCCTGACGTTTCACCCACATCTATGACAGGCATCTTCAGAGGTTGTGAGGTCTGTTGGAAACTAGGCAAGTGTGGTTTATATATCTGTGGAATTTGCAGGGCGGGAGAAATAACTCTTGTCTGTTTGAGGCCACCTTGATTGGCATTGCAGTTTCAAAGCCTGGCTGCTTCCTGCCTGGGGGAATCCTTTGTTGGGAGGTGTTAGCTGGCCCTGATTGTTTCCTGTCTGGAATTCCCCTGTTTTTTTAGTGTTGCTATTTATTTACTGTCCTGATTTTAGATTTTTTAAATAATGATAGCCCGATTTTGTTCATTTTCATGGTTTCCTCCTTTATGTTGAAATTGTCCAACCTGGGTTCTCTCTGTTTTTCCCCCCCACCTTGGATGTTCCAGATATATAAACCTCACTTGCCTAGTTTCCAACAGACCTCACAACCTCTGAAGATGCTTGCCATAGATGTGGGCGAAACATCAGAGAGAATGCTTCTGGAACATGGTCACACAGCCTGAAAAACTCACAGCAACCCATTATTATTATTATTATTATTAAATTGCTCTTGCTACATGATAGCCTGGAAAATGGCAGTCCTGGGGAAATTATTTTGTTATGTTTAAATAATAGGGCTTAAATATTTCCTGGTAACAGGTGTCCAGAGGAGGATGACTAAAATGATCAAGTGTCTGGAGAACAAGCTCTATGAGGAGTGGCTTTAAGAGCTAGGCATGCTTAGCCTTCAGAAGTGTAGGCTGAGAGGAAACATAATGAGGGCCATGGATAAATATGTGAGGGGAATTCATAGGGAGGAGGGAGCAAGCTTGTTTTCTGCTGCCCTGGAGACTAGGATGAGGAGCAATGGCTTCAAACTACAGGAAAGGAGATTCCACCTGAACATGAGGAAGAATTTCCTAACTATGAGAGCTGTTCAGCAGTGGAACTCTCTGCCCTGGAGTGTGGTGGAGGCTCCTTCTTTGGAGGCTTTGAAACAGAGGCTAAAATATTTTCTGATGACAGGTGTCCAGAGGAGGGTGATTAAAATGATCAAGGCTCTGGAGAACAAGCCCTATGAGGAGCATCTTAAATAGCTGGGCATGTTGAGCCTGCAGAAGAAAAGGCTGAGAGGAGACATGATGAGGGCCATGTATAAATATGTGAGGGGAAGTCATAGGGAGGAGGTAGCAGGCCTGTTTTCTGCTGCCCTGAGACTAAGACACAGAGCAATGGCTTCAAACTACAGGAAAGGAGATTCCATTTTAACATTAGGAAGACCTTTGTAAGGAATGAATGTGTGAATGCATGGAGAAGAGCAGAGGAAACAACCCTGAAGAATCAACATGGAGTTCACACAAAGCATGATATGAGTTGGACTTGGCAGACGAAGTGAGGAAGCAATAAGGCCTAGCTGTGTGTGTATGTGTGAATGTTTGGAAAGTGTGCACAAGAGCTCTCTCTTAATGTGATTCTGTGGTGAGTGCATTTCAATAAATGTTACATGAATAGTGTTAAAACCAAATTTGGTCTCTAAAGTGTCTCATTGATCTAAATTACCTTACTATTCCTTAAACACTCTGCATAAAATGAACAGGAACCTTTTGTGGTTCGTAACACTTTCCTAGCTGTGAGAGCTGTTCAGCAGTGGAACTCTCTGCCCCTGAGTATGGTAGCGGCTCTTTCTTTGGAGGCTTTTAAGCAGAGGCTATATGGCCATCTGTCAGGGGTGCTCTGAATACATTTTTCCTGCTTCTTGGCAGGGGGTTGGACTGGATGGCCCATGAGGTCTCTTCCAACTCAATGATTCTATGGCATTTTTAGCCAACTGTGCTCGCCATAATAAGGAAAAGTTGCAAAAATGTCAGTAGAATTGAGTCACAATCTCAAACTTGCTATCCATTCTTTAAATAAGGCCTCTTGCCAGAGAAATCAAGCTGTGGAAAGTCTCCATAAATCACAGTTTCGGTCACTCTCTGTAGGTTGAGTTGCCAGCTCAGCAAAATTACTTGGCAGGGTCAGTATTGGATTCTTGTATTTGATACTTCATGGATGTGTGATGAGAGGAACTAGCTCTTGAGATGGAGGGGGAAACCCAAAGGGGACTTTTGGAAGGGAAATGCTGAACAGTTTCCATAAATGATATGCCACATGTATATAGTGAACATGCAGATCTATCCAAAAAACCAAGAGGAGAGAGAGAAAGTCAGCAATGCACGCTGATTCACCATGTAGTGACTGAAACGAGCCATCTACATTTGACCTCAAACACTCCCCGAAATCCATACTCCTCTATCTTAAATCTTGTGCCACATACTGATGAAGTTCCGAAAACTCTAAAGATCACACTTTATGACATTTTGGTTAATTATACAAGTATTGCCCACAATGGCATAACTAGTGGGGTGTGGACCACACTGGGTGACACCAAAATGATGGTCTGTAAAATATTTGCACAGCGTTTCAGCACAAATATATTATTGTATTGTCAAAGGCTTTCATGGCCGGAATCACTGGGTTGTTATGAGTTTTCCAGGCTGAATAGCCAAGTTCCAGAAGCATTTGCTCCTGACATTTTGCCCACATCTATGGCAGGCATCCTCAGAGGTTGTGCAGTCTGTTGGAAACTAGGCAAGTGAGGTTTATATATCTGGAGAATGTCCAGGGCTAGAGAAAGAACTCCTGTCTGTTTGAGGCAAATAGGAATTTATTATTATTTATTTGCTTTATTTCTATACCGCATTTTTCAGCCCAAGCAGGCAACTCAATGCGGAATGTTGCAATTGGCCACCTTGATTGGCATTGCAGCTTCAAAGCCTGGCTGCTTCCTGTCTGGCGGAATCCTTTGTTGTGAGGCGTTACCTGGCCCTGATGGTTTCCTGTCTGGAATCCCCCTGTTTTTTTAGTGTTGCTCTTTATTTACTGCCCTGATTTTAGAGTTTTTTAATACTCCAAATTTTGTTAATTTTCTCCAGATACTCCAGCCATTCAATGCTAATCAAAGTGGCCATCCACACTTGCCTCAAGCAGGCAAGAGTTATTTCTCCCACCCTGGACATTTCACAGATATATAAATCTCACTTGCCAAGTTTCCAACAGACCTCACAACCTCTGAGGATGCCTGCCATAGATGCAGGCAAAATGTCAGGAGAGAATGCTTTTGGCACATGGCCATACAGCCCAGAAAACTCACAACAACCCAAATATATTACTTTCTATAAAAAAATCCCTGCAGTTAGATATAACCACAATTTTTTCTTGTAAGCCCAGCTTACCTCTACTATATAAAATTATAAATCAACCTACAAGACAACTCTATTCTGATTTATTTCTGAACCTTCTCATGTCCATGCACTCTGGTCACGATTTTGCAATGATGCTTCAAATCATGAGGTTTTGCCTGTGTGCGCTACAAAGAAGCACTGTTCCCTGTATGAGAATGTCCTGGGAATATAACATCATGTGAAATGGCACCAGCCTGATTGGCCAGCAACTATTTTGAAGGTTAGTGGTGGTCATAAACCACCAAGGGGTGCATATTCACTTTGGAATTAATGCAGTTTAAGACCACTTTAACTTCCATGTGCTCTGTGCAGATGCATGATAGCCATGTATAAATATGTGAGAGGAAGTCATAGGGAGGAGAGAGCAGGCTCGTTTTCTGCTGCCCTGGAGCCTAGGATGCAGAACACCCTACAAGAAAGGAGATTCCACCTGAACATGAGGAAGAACTTCCTAACTGTGAGAGCTGTTCAGCAGTGGAACTCTGTGCCCCGGAGTGTGGTGGAGACTCCTTCTTTGGAGGCTTTTAAACAGAGACTGGATGGCCATCTGTCGGGGATGCTTTGAATGCAATATTCCTGCTTCTTGGCAGGGGGTTGGACTGGATGGCCCACAAGGTCTCATCCAACTCTATGATTCTATGAAAAATTGGAGTTGTAGCATTGCAAGGTCTTTAGCCTTTTCTTCCAAAGTGTGCTGGTGCCTCATGAAATTCTAGCATTTGATAGTGTTGAGCTATGGTTACCAAACTGCATTAATTCTGCAGTGTAGCTGCACCCAAGGCTCTATCATTTTTCTAGCAGTGAGGAACACACCCTTCCCTTAAAGGATGGGAATACTGAATGAGAGCCTGTAGGGCCTCCTGAGGTCAACTCTCAAACCAGTTGGCGAGATTCTGGATAGTCTTGGGTTGCTTCCCCGCGGTCCTGACTGCGTTGCAAACCCTGCAGCAATGTTCATCCCAGAAGGAGGTGACCTGCACGTCGTAGTGCTTCCTCCAGGCGAAATACCTCCGGTACCTGCTCTTGTTTTTGTCGAGGAATTTCAAGTAGACTGCCAGCTGCTCAGGATCAGAGAAGTCTTCCACGTGGATGAAAGAATCGGAAGGGATGAAAAGCTCATAGTTGGCCCTGGGTGGCCCCAAGACGATGGGCACGGCCCAGGCCTTGAAGGCGTTTCTCCAGAGCTTCTCCGTGATGTAGTCCGAGTGCTGGGAATTCTCAAAGGCCAAGTAGAATTTGTACTCCGAGACTGTTTGGACCACGCTGCTGTCTATCAAATCCAGGCCTTGGGCGCCGTAGACGTCGATGGGGAGGTGGACCTTCAGCTGGTGGTAATAGCGCACCCGGGCATGCTCCTCATTCCAGTTGCTGATGACCCAGGCCAGCAGCTTGGTCTTCTTGGGCATGGGATCCATAGGGTGAAGGGCCCGTCTTGGGCGGAGGTACCCATAGGGCACAAAGACATCCGAGTCCACCCTGTAGGACATGGTCCAGTTGAAGAGCCCCCCCAAGTCCTGCAAGTGGTGTGAATGAGAAGGCGACTCGAAGTTCATCCAGACCCAGCGCTGGGCTGGAAGTCTTTTGGAGGGAAGCTGGTCCAGTCCATGGAGGACCAAGTCCCGGTGATGGAAGAGGACCACTTGGGCCTCAAGGAGGAGGCTGCGGTCGGTGGTGAGCTGGCACCCAGGGATGTGGAAGCGCTCCTGGCAGCTGCCCAGGCTCCTCTGCCGCCCGAAGGGCTCCCACCAGAGCAGCACCCTCACCAGGGCTGGTTTCTCCTTCTCCTCCTCCTCTTGGGGCCACCAGGCAGAGAGCGGGGGCTGCAGGAAGCTTGGGCCCAGCGAAGAGGAGGCGTACAAGGCCAGGAGCGTGCAGAAGGCCAGCCCGGCGCCCAGCACAGCCATCCTCGGCCGGCCTCTGCGGGTGAGCTTCCTCCTCCACGTCACCTCCGAGCCTGGCATAGAAGAAGGGGATGCTGGTGATGCTCCTGATGATGATGATGATGAGAATGGTGGTGGAGGGGCCAAGGAGAAGACATAATGCTGGTGGTGGTGCTGCTGCCAGCGCCTCCTTCCCGAGACGGGCTCCTCCTGCTGCTGCCCGAAGGATGGCCTGCTGCTGCCCAGCCCGGCCATACGCCCCTCCCGCCCCGCAGGCTTCTCCCGCGTCCGCTCCACCTCGCCCCGCCTCCCCTCCCGCCTCCCTTTCACTGTCAGACCATCCCCAGGAGACCGGGAGGAGGCAACACAACGTGTCTCTGCGCCAAGCAGGAATGGGCAAACTTTCTAACTTGGGGGCCCCATGCGAGCACTCTCTGCTGGGAGGACTGGCTTCCCCGTGACGGAAAGAAGGAGGAAGAAAAGGGGGGAAGGAGAGAGAGAGGGAAAGATAGAGGAAAGAGGAAAGACAAAAGGGAAGGATAAAGGAAAGAGAAGGAAGGAAGGAAAGAGAGAGAGAGAGGGAAGGAGAGAGGAAAGAGGAAAGGAAAGACAAAAGGGAAGGATGGAAGGATGGAAGGGAAGGGTGGAAGCAAGGAAGGGAAGGATAAAGGAAAGAGAGAAGGATGGAAAGACAAAAGGGAAGGGAAGGAAGAAGAGAAGGATAAAGGAAAGAGAGAAGGAAAGAAGGATGAAAGGGAGTAAGGGAAAGATGGAAAGAGGGAGAGAGGGAAGAAGAAAGGGAAGGAAGGAAAGGTGGAAGGGAAGGGTGGAAGCAAGGAAGGGAAGGATAAAAGAAAGAGAGAAGGAAGAAAGGATGAAAGGGAGTAAGAAAAAGATGGAAGGAGAAAGAGGGAGAGAGGGAAGAAGAAAGGGAAGGAAGGAAAGGTGGAAGGGGAGGAAGGAAGGAAGGAAGGAAGGAAGGAAGGAAGGAAGGAAGGGAAGGAAAAGGAAAGTTAGAAGGATGGAAGGACAAAAGGGAAGGAAGGGTGGAAGAGAAGGATAAAGGAAAGAGAGGAGGAAAGAAGGATGAAAGGGAGTAAGGGAAAGATGGAAGGAGTGAGAGAAGGAAGGAAAGGTGAAAGGGGAGGGAGGAAGGAAGGAAGGGAAGGAAAAGGAAAGATAGAAGGATGGAAGGACAAAAGGGAAGGAAGGGTGGAAGGAAAGACAAAACGGAAGGAAGGGTGGAAGAGAAGGATGGAAGGAAGGGAAGGATAGAGGAAAGAAAAGGAAGGAAGGACAAAAGGGAAGGAAGGAAGGAAGGAAGGAAGGAAGGAAGGAAGGAAGGAAGAAAAGGTGGAAGGGAAGGATGGAAGTAAGGAAGGGAAGGAAAGGAAGAGAGAAGGAAGAAAAAGGAAGAAGGAAGGGTGGAAGGAAGGATGATGGGAGGAAGGAAAAAAGGAAAGAGAGAGGAAGGAAGACAAAAGGGAAGGGAGGGTGGAAGGAAGGAAGGATGGAGGAAGGAAGGATAAAGGAAGAGAGAAGGAAGGAAGGACAAAAGGAAAGGAAGGAAGGAAGGAAGGAAGGAAGAAAGGTGGAAGGAAGGATGAATGAAGGAAGGGAAGGAAAGGAAAAGAGAAGGAAGAAAAAGGGAAGGAAGGGGAAGGGAAGGATGAGGGAGGAAGGGAAGGAAAGGAAAGAGAGAAGGAAGGAGACAAAAGGAGGAGGGTGGAAGGAAGGATGGAAGGAAGGGAAGGATAAAGGAAAGAGAAGGAAGGAAGGATGAAAGGGGAAGGAGGAAGGAAAGATAAAGAGAGAGGGAAGAAGGAAGGAAAGAGAGAAGGAAGGAAAGAAAAAAGGGAGGGAAGAAGAAAAGATGAAAGGTGGAAGGGAAGGAGAAAGAGGGAGGGAAGGAGGAAGGAAAGAGAGAAGGAAGGAAGGACAAGATGGTATGAGAGAGGAGGGCCTGAGAAAAGATCCCAACGGGTCGCATTTGGCCCCTGGGACAGGGTATGGCCATGCCTGCTCTATGCTTGCTCTTTCAAACTTCTTAGATCCAACCTGGGATTCAGATCTGGCCCAGCTTTCTCTTGGCTTCTTCTCTCCCTCCTCCTCCTCCATCCTCACCCTTGAGTGTCTGACTCTTTTCCTGGACAGGTGGAACTTCACCTGGGAGAGTGCCTTCCAGCATGGAACTATCACTGGGATTGACCCAAGGGTTTCTTTTCTTCTCTTTTGGCTGGACAACCAGGAATCCACCTGAGAGAGTTACTTTATTGTTTGAACTTTTTCAATGCCTGCCTGGAAGCTGCAGGAAAAAGGAAAGCTCACCTCCCTTCCCTGCTCACCAGCAGCAAACTGGGCTTGTGCTTTTCCTTAATTTCCCGGCCCAGTGCTTTCTTTGCTTGACTTGAGAGAATTGTCCACTCCCTAGAACTGTCACCCTGACTGACCTGAAGAACAGTCTTCGTCCCACGGACTGGAAGTAATTGATCCAAAGCCAGTCCATGGAGCTCCACTGGTTGGATTTCTGCCTCTGGGCCATGGAGAACTATCTGTCCCACTGTTTATTATTCCAGAATAGAAATTGTAGAATAATAGAATTGGAAGAGACCTCGTGGACCATCCAGTCCAATCCCTTGCCAAGAAGCAGGAAAATCACATTCAAAGCATCCCCAACAGATAGCCATCCAGCCTCTGTTTAAAAGCCTCCAAAGAAGGAGCCTCCACCACACTCTGGGGCAGAGAYAGAGTTCCACTGCTGAACAGCTCTCACAGTTAGGAAGTTTTTTCCTAATGTTCAGGTGTAATCTCCTTTCTTGTAGTTTGAAGCCATTGTTCCACGTCCTAGTCTCCAGGGCAGCAGAAAACAAACCTGCTCCCTCCTCCCTYTGACTTCCTCTCACATATGTATACATGACCTCCATCATGTCTCTTCTCAGCCTTCTCTTCTGCAGGCTAAACATGCACAGCTCTTTAAGCTACTCCTCATAGGGCTTGTTCTCCAGACCCMTGATCCTTTTAGTCGCTCTCCTCTGGACACATTCCAGCTTAGCATCAACATCTCCCTTCAGTTGTGGTGCCTGGAATTGGACATAGTGTGATTCCAGGTGTGGTCTAACCATGGCAGAATAGAGGGGTAGCACGACTTCTCTGAATCTAGGCACTAGACTCCTATTTATACGGGCCAAAACCCCATTGGTTTCTTTAGCTGCCACTATGACATTGTTGGCTCATGTTTAACTTGTTGTCCATGAGGACTCCAAGATCTTTTTCACATGTACTGCTGTCGAGCCAGGCGTCCCCCATTCTGTATCTTTGCATTTCGTTCTTCCTGTCAAAGTGGAGTCTCTTGCATTTGTCCCTGTTGAACTTCATCTTGTTAGTTTTGGCCCATCTCTCTAATCTGTTAAGATCATTTTGAATTCTGCTCCTGTCTTCTGGAGTATTGGCTATCCCTCCCAATTTGGTGTCGCCTGCAAACTTGATGATCCTGCCTGATAACCCTTCATCTAAGTCATTAATACAGATGTTGAACAGGAGCATCCAGCCTATGTCATGCAGCCAGGACATCTCTCTTATGACAAAAACAGCTATCAACAGGTCACATAGTCAAAAGGAGAGAGAGGAAGAGCATGTGGTCTTCAGCCCCCTTTGTAACTTCTCAGGAACCATAGAGTAAAGGATGCTGCATACCAGAACATGCATACAGGAAACAGTAAGCAACAGGATCATAGATAAACATATTACTAGAAAAGGCTCGAAGAAGATTGTCATTTCCAACACTTGGATTTTTTAAATGCCTGCCTGAAAGCCGCAGGAAAGGAAAGCTCCCTTCCCTTGTCTGGGCTTGGCACTTTTCCCTAATTTCCCGGTCTAGTGCTTTCTTTTCTTGACTTGAGAGAATTGTCCACTTCCTGGAACTGTAACCCTGATTGACCTGAAGAACAGCCCTCTTCCCTCCATCCTGGAACTGACTGACCCAAAGTTAGTCCTTGGAGCTTTACTGGTCCGTCCTTGGAGCTTCACCATCCATCCCAATGTTTATTATTCCAGAATAGGAATCATTATTTACTGTTGAGCCTGAAACACATGTTTGACTTCTTACTTGCTCTGCATTTCATGTATTCAGAGATTTGTATTAATTACAATGCCTTCCATAAGGAGATAATTTTCTGTAGCTATAAAAAGCTTAGAAAGCACACCATGTAACCTGGTTTTTGTTCCTGGATTATAAATGTTATTTCCTAATTGGTTCTATCATAAAAACAGGAAACATTTATTAAACAGCAAAAACTTTGTTTTTGCAGGACATCTTGCAGTACATCTTGCTATAGTTTTTCAATGAATATCTCATAGGGTCTCAACCAATTCGACATAATTTGTGGCAGCCACAAAAATGAAGTTTGGTGAGTATAACAACTACTTTCAAAGTACTTACTTATTTAGGCAATCCCTCGTTGTCCAAGTAGGATTGTCTTCCAGGATCAGTGTACTGGCGTTTGGTGCGTAGGTGACTGTGGATCCCTATTCTTGATCTGCATGTTCTCCTGCAGTGAGGGCTTCGGTTTCCAGATGGAAGGTGGTCCTGGTCGGGGTTGGGTTGATGAGCCTTCCTCTTGGCACGTTTCTCTCTTTAGCCCTCCATTCGTGCCTCTTCAAATTTTACAGCACTGCTGGTCACAGCACCTCCAGCTGGAGCGCTCAAGGGCTAAGATCCCTGTTGATCTTCCGCAGGAAGCTGAAGACCTGGTTGTTTAAGAAGGCTTTTGAATAGAAGTGCAATGACTGGTAACTTGACCATAGGAATGGAACAACGGTAATGGTATCGGATCGTGAATTGACGATGAGACGACTCGGAATGATCTTGTAGTAAGGTTGATGTTTTGATGATGTTGATAATTATGTACTGTGGATTATTTTATTTTATGTTGTATCTTGCACCTTTTTTCTATGTTGTACACTGCAATGAGTCGCCAGTAGGCTGAGAATTGCGGTATATAAGCATAGTAAATAAATAAATAAATAAATAATAAGGCTTCCTAGTTCTCATTGTCTATGCCAGTATAACAACTACTTTCAAAGTAAGTACTGCACAATTAAACAGGAAATAACACTTTCAGACCAGGAACATTTTTTTCAAATTTGTTACATGGTGTCTGTAATAGATTAACAAATCAAGGAACATGAAAGGCACTGCAGACCACTTCAACCAGAGAAGTCAGCCATAGCAGAGCACCTGATGAACCAACCTGGAC